ACCCCCATACCATCACAACGCCAACTCTATGTTTGACAGTTGGATTTAAATTTCTCAGATTCAGTTCTGTTCCTGGTTTTCTCCATACAATAGGGTGGCCATTAACTTTAAATATTGTAAATTTACTTTCAACTGACCAAATTACATTGTTCCAGAAGTCCTGCGAAGAGTTTAAATATGTTTTGGAAAAAGCAATTCTTTTCTTTCTATTTGTCTCGGAAATGTATGGCATAGACCTAGGTTTGCGTCCATGATAATCAGACTTTCGCAGCATTTTTCGTACAGTTTCAGGAGAAATTTCCTTGTTGCTAGTTAAAAAAATGTCTTTTGCAATGTTTGCAGCAGAAAGTTTAGGATTTTGTTTAATTCGTAAAAGAATTTTTCTTTCTTTTTTCTGCGTTAGCTTCTTCAGTCTCCCACATCTTGGTTTTACAGCAAGACTACCAGTGTCAAGATAGTTTTGAATAACTCTTTGCACACTAAAAAATGGTTTTACCAATATAACGAAGAGCTTTACCTTCATCTCTCAATTTGATAATTAGTTGTCTCGTAACTAAAGGAATTTCTTTATTGGTTGTCATTTTCGTCAAAGAAAATAGAAATAGCAACTTCCAATCAACGTGAAATTTGCTTCGGAGGTCAATGACCTTGAAAGTGTAACCTTCTTTGCATTCTCAAATTTGAAGTTTGAAAGTTAGATAAGAAATCCCCCGCCTCCTTCGCGTTGTATGCAAACTTTATTGGCTTTGATTTCTGGCCACTTATCTTTTAAAAATTAGTGCGCATAAATTATTAAATATGAAAATATTACAGTTAAATAATTTCAAAGTCCCTTATTGAAACTAAATATTTAAAAAACAAATCTTTAAGAAACTACCCTTTTCGCACCTTAAAATTTGGATTTGATATTACTTTTCTTGATGTACGCAGACTTTATTGACTAACTGTATATATACCATATCCGTATATTCGTCAACGTGCATGGCAAATGCGAAGATTTAGTTTCCGATATCAAGATTTCCGAAATTGATCGCTTCAAGTCTGAAATCATATTAAAGTCTAGGCAGTTCAAAATTTGCTGGCTTAAGATTTAAAAGAGAATTTTTTAGTCTTACACAGTACAAATGTTAATTTCCTTTCATTTCAGGCTGCGAGCGTTTTCCTCGGAAAACTAATGGTACTTACGTATTAGCACGACAATCTTGTTGCAGTTTGGCGATTTTAGTGGAAAAAAAAGAATCACGACTTATACTTGCCAAAAAAAAAAAAAAAAAAAATCAGTTATTAAATACATACATGTGATTTCATGTATTTTTATGCTTTAATTAGGTATTTATCCTGAAAATTACTAAACCTGTTTACTAGTGAGTTTTTGTTTATTTTGTTCTGGTGGCAATTTCGCGGCATCGCGCTACAGATTCAAAGCAGTTTTATTCTTCAACAATTCTGTGGCAAATTACTATATTCATGCAGAAATTTTAGGCTTTTTTCTCCCTTTGCAATCCCATAAGCGCATATTTACAAACTGAGTTTAAGACAAATAAATAAATAAATATCACAATTTGTCTGCCAAAAACCGTTGGAATATAAAACATAGCAAAAAAGAATGAGAATGGTGACGTTGCTTGCCAGAGTTTGGCGTATTTGTCAATAAATGTCTGCCTCTTCTCTTGCAACCATTTTTCAACAGCAAATAACTGCTATTCAAATTCTTTCATCTTAACAACTAACATGCTTGTTCTTTTACTCATATAATGATGAGTTCAAGCCTGCCACGTGTTTGCGATTTGTTATTTTTATATCACGCAATTTGCCATTTAGCGAATAATGGAAGCAGAAATCAAACGATTTTTGTAATGCTACTTTGTAACGGTTGCTCTGTGCATTTTATTTCTGCCGAAATAAAATGCATATGTGAGCCAAACTGTTACTGTAATTTTCTTGTAATAAAGTCACCAAAATTCTAAATAAGTCACCAAAATGTTCAGAATGCGTCAAACTCTGATATCGATGAGTGTAACAGTTCTTCAATTTTCAACGTCGCCATTTTCGTGTATGCTCTGATGTTTTATTTTAAGTTCCAAAAGTTACCATCGACTCAAATCCTGATATTTCTTGTCTTAATTTTAAAACGTACAGTAGTGAGATTTGCCAGCAAGCGAAACTGTAGTAAAATACCTGTATACAGTTGCCGCTGAATCGCTAAAGGGAGCTATTATTTTGAATCTATTCTTAAAGCCATCACCAAAAAAGTTCCATTTAAGTCGGGGGAGGGAAAAGCTTGCAAGTAGGTTTAATGATTTTTTTAAGGGTTTATTGGTAGTAAATAGTTTAACTGATGACTTAATTAGGGATATATACTTAATCAAAATGTAAAATATATTTGTGATAAATACTACTATTTTTTTAATTAGTCTTCGTCCCCCCCCCCTCTCTTTCTGTAAAAACCGCCAAACGGCAACAAGACAGATGCAACTAACACTCAACTACCGAATACTTGGAACTGGTACTCAGATTGCCGCCAAAATTACAGTTTTGTATGTCTGAACTACCGAGTTCGAGATGAGACACAAATACTATACCAGTTAAAATGATAGGAACTAAGTTGCAAATAATTCGATGCAGGTAATTACGATTCATCACAAATTTTATTTGTCCAGAAACGTGAGAACACTGAATATACTAAAAACATGACTGATATATATAATGAAAAATAAATATGTAGTTGCGAATGTGCACACATCAATCAGACCCAAGGTCAAGGGGGTGAACTATTTGTTGAGTCTATGTACTAATAGCCACATTTCTTTAATCTCGATGGTACAACTTTTACTCAAAAGATTTACATGAATATTCAAAATGAATTTAAAATGGCTTCCCTCTTAGGTACATTTTATTGGTGTACATGATAGTACCTATTTTTTATTCTATTTTATGTAGTACAAAATTAAAAAAATTTCAGAGTTTCTGTCTTAAGAGCAAGACCGGCGATTCTAATTCATCTTCTTTGCATCAATAACTGGCAAATGCCAACCTTTGTTAGTGAAGGGTGCAAAATGCCAAAATTATTATTTTTTCTAAAATTAGAAACAATATTATAGTCTAAACCAAATTTTTTCAGACATTTAAAGGCAAATCATATTGCAAAATATAATAGACTACAATTTAACGTTAAAATTCTGGAATTTCACGCCGAAAATCTTCGGAAGAAATGCTTAAAAAGATGCATTATCTATGAACAGTTTTTAAAATAATTAATTTAGTTGAAGGATGATGTATATAAAATTGTCAAAGAATTGATGAATAAATAAATATATTTTGAAAATACAATGTACACATTGTACTCTGGTACATGAAAAATAAACAATGGATTGCCAATAATTCTTCAATAACAAACACATGCACCTAATTTTTGTTAATCACACATTTCTGATACAGAGTTAGAACATAAATCTACTTTCATTCTAATGATATTATAAGAAATTAATAATATATTATTATCAGTAATTATTACTGTTTATTATGTTAGTAATGGAAGCAGCTATGATCATAAAGCACAGTTTTATTTCCTTTTATTGAGAAATATTTTGCTTTTAGATATAAATGCCTTTTCAGTAAAAGGGAAAATTAAAAATTCTAAACAAAGATTCAGAATTAGTTTTTATACATTTCTGTTAATAAACATTAACTTTGAGGTTGCATAAACATTTACGACTGAAAATGCACTAAATTTAAGACATTTTATAAATTATACCTGGAATGTATATTAGTACAATCTTACAAGTTACACACAAAGTATGAATGAGGAGTAATACTAGTAATAATACATACGTATAGCTTATGTTGGTATTTTAAAAGAATAAGATTGATTATTTAGTCTTATTCTGTTAGTTTAATTCTTTTCAACTATAAATATGCATTTAAAAATTTGAAATAATATTATTTTGTGTCAGTTTATTTTTTTATTTACTAAAAGATAAAGTAGATCAATGAATTTAATGAATTTGCCTTAACTAAATATTAACCCATTAACTTTATTAAACCCATTAAGTTGAAATATCTTGAGATTAATGGATTGATTACTTTAATAAATGCTAATTAGATTAAGGGACTGATTACTTTAATAAATGCTAATTAGATTAAGGACTGATTACTTTAGTAAATGAAAATTAGATTAACAGATTGATTACTTTAGTAAATGCTAATTAGATTAAGGGACTGCTTACTTTAGTACATGCTAATCAGATTAACAGATTGATTACTTTAGTAAATGTTAATTAGATTAAGCGACTGATTACTTTAGTAAATGCAAATTAGATTAACAGATTGATTAATTTAGTAAATGCTAATTAGATTAAAGGATTGATTACTTTACTAAACACTAGTTCGATTAACAGATTGATTACTTTAGTAAATGCCAATTAGATTAAATGATTGATTACTTTACTAAACACTAGTTCGATTAACAGATTGATTACTTTAGTAAATGCTAACTTTTTAATCGGATGGATTTAATGATTGCTAACCCAGTAACTTTCAAAAGTTGGCTTTAAAATTTTGTCGCTTTTAACACAAACAAAAAAATTTTAATTTACAAAAAGATAACTGAATAGCAACGTTCAGATTCTAATAAACAGAGACGAATTATAAACAAAAACATTTTACAATCCACATCAGGTTATTAGATAACCATAAAATTTCATTAAAACTCATATTTAATGTACATCTTTCCATACGATGCAACAGACAACACGTGGGCAAGTAGAAACTGGTTGAATTTTCAATCAATAAATTCAGAGGCGTCCAGTCACTTCAATTCGCAATTGTATAAATAATTTCGCATTAAACATTGGCAACAAAAGTAATAAGCTACAAACGATAAGTAAGCTACAAAACACAACACGAATTGAACATGTAACCGGAACTAAACATATTACACAAAAAAAAAATTCGAAATAATATGACTACTGTGCATAAAAATAGATTAAAAGGAAACTTACCAAGATCGGAGCGCATGCAGCCGCACAGTCGGCATAAAATCTGCGGCCAGGCACTAGTCACCAGTCACCTCTCGTCCAACACGAAGTCTAAAGCTCAACTGAAAGTGTCCACGCGCTTCCTAGTTGGGCTGCAGCGCTCTGTTTGAGAACTTCGGCGACAGGAACTTCCGGCCAGGCCAATATTGGGGAAGGAAAAGATCCGCCTCTGTTAGCTGTAGATTAGAAACGGAGCACTTTATTTTTAAAACAACGCCACCCTCAATGACCACTGCGTGTTTTGTTTGCTGCTATTTAAACAAGATCGATCTGAAACTGTGTTAGCATTTTAATCCAAAGACACTTACTTTTCTTTGCTTCACAGTAGACGGTTTACATGTTTATCATCGAAGAACAGCGGTTTGAAATCTAATTATTAGCCCAAACGGAACGTTAACCCTGAATGGCATATTAGTATCAAAACAGCATTTTGCGTCGTACTTTTCAAATTGTTGCCACCAAATATTATCGCTCTGTATTACATTTAAAGAAATTAAATAAGGAAGATTCTGCATGAATGTCTGAATATTTATCGCGTTGTGAAATTGTGTCTGAATATTTATCGCGTTGTGAAATTGTGTGTCTGAATATTTATCGCAGATTTTGACCGTGAAAAAACAACGGTACGTAAAGCCATCAAATTTTGAATAACACAGTTCTCCACCCGAACATGGGCACCTGGAAACCCGTGTTTGGAATTTCGATTTTGTTTTAGTACGCGTACCACTGGTGGCACGCAAAGAAACAAAGTATTTTTAACTATTAAATTAAAAAATTATGGGTGTTTTCGTGGTTTTCCCCATGTGTAACGTGTATACGAGCCAGTTTCCCTTAGAAAGTCCTCCACAAAGGCATCCCTAGTGTGCTTTGCCATAATTAAATACACCATACACTACACCAAAAATTAAAACCCCAACATCCTGATTGAGTTTTTTCTCTAACACTCGTAAATTTATGCGATCTGGGCTTTGTTCAAGAGTGGTGGTGGTAGTAGTATTTTGTAGTGGTGGTACTCAAAGTTTTCAATTTTTATTTAGATGGTACGCGTTAGTCAAAAGGCTGAGAACCGCTGGTCTACATATTTTGTAAAACTTTAACGAATTTTTGATTAGCGATTTCAAAGCGAGCAGTGGCAACACTGTCTGGAATAAAACATTTTTATCTCCAGCGCAAGACTGTATATCGGGAATTCTAAACATATGCTGTTTAAAAATATTTTGAGATTTTTCCTTTGAATCGAATTTTATGTGCCGAAAGTGACAAGAACGTGATATTTAATAAATAAAGTAAACACACGAGACGTTAATAATAATTTTAAAAAAAAATAGTTTTAAGTTTAAAGCTATCTTGGTAAAAAAAACTGAACATTGCTATGATGAACTGAGAAAAGACTGAAAAAAACAGAAAAATATATGCCAACACCTAACGCTGCATCGTGTGAAGAAAATGATGCTTAATAATAAAGCTAAAAAGACAGTAAAAAAAAAAAGAAGAGAAAGGGTTAGTAGGCGTGATTCTGTCAGCAGACTGGTAGACTGCGACCGCAGCGAGAGCGTAAAAAACCTTAGCAAACCGTTTTGGATGACCGTTAAAATCTGAAACCTTTCAGTCCCCATCTTTTAAGTTTTCTTTTAAATTAATTAGTTATCCACCTCAGCGTTTTTCAAACTTTTCACCTGAAGACCACTTTCATAAATTAGAACGTTCTGTGGACCACCTGCCCCCTTCGTTAATTTTCCATTGGTATTAAATAACCAATTTAATAGAAGACAATTTCTATTCGTTTTTGTTAACCCAAGGTTATTAGAGTTTGGATAAACTTTATCTTATTAACTAAAAATCAAATACATTTTAAGTTAAAATGAAGCAACAACCTGTGTTAGGCGTAGATTTTTAGCAAAGAAATTCTATCGATTTCGAGGGCAAACGAAGTCCGTCTTCATCAGGAGCAAAGAAATCTTCTGTCTACGCTGTGCTACCACAGGTTGTTGCTTCGCTTTTATAATTTATTTGAGGCGTCTTTCTCTTCTGTCTTAAACTTTAGATACTCATATTAATGAGATGATTGAGTTGACATAGCATGACTTTTCATAGCTGTTTCATGTTTGGGTGTATATTTGTAAGACGACTAAATAGTAGTCCATTATGAACATATTAAATAAATTATTTTTCACATTTAATATAATATGTTTATTTCAGTTACTATTTGGATAAAACGAATTTTTTAAATAATTCAGTTAACCGAATAAATTAAGCTACCCACACAGCACAGCAACATTCCTGGTGCTTCATTCTTAAATTTGAGGGCTCTGGAATACATTATAATTTATCCATCTTTCCAACGGCCCCACTTGGATGAAGACTATAATCATAATTATCATCGTAATGGAATACACCAAATCAGGGTGCAGTGTTCGCCTAGATCGAACAGTTGCGTACTCGAATATTTCCCAATCTTCTTCGCGTTGCTCGTTTGTTTCATATGAAAGGGGTTGAACAGTACGTATTCGAACGTTTTGCAATATTGCTACCCGTTGCCAGTTTGTTTCTGAAGCTCGTAATGCCATTCTTTTTTTTTTTTTTTTTTTTTTTTTTTTTTAAAGAAAAAGAAAACTGTATAATTTTCTCACGCTATTCGCAAACTCTACTTAGCATGCAGCCCTTTATGTTTGGAATATTTGCTTGACATTACCTTTGCTAGACTCTGTTTCTGTTTTTGCCACAAATTGTTTTCGAGAAGTGGTAACAAATTCGGAGCAAACAAACATTTGAAATTCGAAAACAAACTGACTTTTCCTATAAATAACATGTAAATAAATAAAATTGCATTTAGAATTCAAACTTCTAGATTCAATTTCGACACTTCGAGAGCTACCGCCCTTCAGTCTCATAAAGAAGCTCAGTATGAATAACGCCGATTTCTTTGCACAGAAGGTTGGAAAATACGATGAAGCTGACATTTTATAATTCTGTTCCAAAACCAGACACTACCCATTATTGCCACTGGCCACTACTAAAGCCGGAAGCGGTCGTCACTTTATTATCAAAGCTAATAGGTGGACCACCGCTGCCTTCGATGAAGGGACAGACAATTTACATCCGTATCTCCCCCGGAATTCGAACCCGGATCCTTTGGTTCAGCAGCCAGAGTCCCACGGTATCCAGGGATGGTGAACCTTTTTCGATTAGCGTGCCAATTAAATCACGGTTTATTATTTTCAGGTATTCAGTGAGCTATTTTCTTTATAAAAATCATCTGCTCTCCTTTGATTTCAAATTATCGAATTAAATTTTGTAACTATATTTGCTGTTTAGTTCTTAACTTGCTTATTTAGTTCTTAACTTGCTGTTTAGTTATTAAACTTAAGTTATTAACTTACTGTTTAGTTATGAATTGCGCCCATGCTCATCCTCGTTTCCGAATCTGCCTTTGACGGCCGCTAGTCTTGAAGATGGTTTATGTTCCCCCCTCCCCATTTTTTTGAAATTTTGTTTTCAGTAAATGTAAGTGAATAAATGTAATTTAGCATGTACACTGCTTAAAAAAGGGGGGTGGCAGTTCTATGTCTCCCGTTCTACTATGTCGATTGACAAAATTCAAATTGCGTTTTTCATGTCTCGAAAGAGCGACTTAGAATATATATTAGATTTATATATAATATTGTTCTAACATAGGTTTTGTTTACTTAATTATGGCAAAGCACACTAGGGCTATCTGCCTAAGGGGAGGGTGCCTTCGTGGATGACTTTCTAAGGGAACCGGCTCGTACACATGTTACACACGGGGAAAACCACGAAAAAGCCCATGCAGCCAGCCCGTTCGCGGGATTCGAACCCTCGCACCGAACTACCAGTGTTCAGCGACTTTACCGCTCGGCCGCTGGTGGGCCTTTCTAACATAGGTATTTTGACTCAAAATCGGACTTTTTCTGAAATAACATCCAAATTTTTTTTCATATTTCCAAAATATATATATGGAATCAATGAACTCCTAACTGTGTCATTTTACAAACAGTGACAGGTGATAAGATTCATATTGAAGGTAAAATTAAGATTACCATTACCTTCAGAAATGATGCTTACCAGCATTTGGCTTTCGTTGCTAACATCGCAGAAGAGTTAACACTCGGACTGGATTTTTGCCAAGCACGACTTTACACTGGACTTTAAAATATAACGAGATGCACTAGCTGTGTTTAAAATGAAATAGAGCATTCCTTCAGCTCACCAAGTAACCACAAAAACAGATGTCACCATCCTTCCGATGATAGAATCATTAATAAACGGCTCCATAGAGAACAATAACTTCAAATTTGGAATAACTGAAATAGCTTAATAGCACAATCCCTGAAAATAGCTTAAGAGATGTATTAGTAGCTTCAACATTTGCAGACCTTTCGTCCCTGTGAGAGTGGCGAATTTTACCCACAGACCGAGAACTATTCAGAAGTGTGAAGTGTTAACAGCATGCACTCCAGTTACGTGCGTTTACAAAGCCACCTCCTGGAAATCATATTCCGACCGAGGAACTGGAAAATTAATTGAAGAACTTATGAAGAGTGCAAACTTAACCAACGAAGAAAGATGTGCGGCAGAGAAAACAATTAAAGAATTTGAAGATTCATTTTCTAGAATATCCAGAGATGTTGGCCGCACAAAACTGAAACAACATCGAATTTATACGGGGGATCATTCTCCGATCAAGCAACATTCCAAACGTCTGCCATTCGCAAAATAGGAAGAGGTTGGAAGTCTTCTGAAAGAGATGCAAGAAAATGACGTTGTCGAACCATTCACAAGTCCATGGGCCTTCTCCTATGGTGCTCGTCTGGTAAAAAGACGGATCGACAAGATTTTATGTCGACTAAATAATGTCACTAGAAAACCCTCTTATTAGGATTGTAGGACTGACGATACTCTAGACGTCGCATCAGGATACAAGTAAAAGTGTTGGGAACACCAGAAACTTCATAACAAATCGAACAGGTATAGCTCCCAATCACTAACCGACTATAAGAAGAAAAATAAAGCTGACGATAGTTCTTTAGCTGGAGGTTTAGAAGTTTATTACAAAGAGAGGCGGACTAAAAAGGGAGAAAGGTTTTTGGAAGAAAAAGAAGAAAACTAGAAGGGTCATTAGGT